TCTGTTCTTGTTTTGTTGGTTTGGTCTAACAAAGAGAAAGAAAAACCAGAATCTTTGGCAAAGTTGGTTTCTTTGTCAATCTACAAATCTCTCACCTTTTCTTTTCTTGGTTGTTTGATAACCTATGCCGCAATACCTAGTAAACAAACACACAGATCAGAACATTTCGACCAAATGCATCAAACTTGTAAAGAACAACAAAGTTAAAATAGTGTTGTTACCTCTATTAGTTTGTCTATTTCCAACATTGTAACTTCCATTGTAAGCTTCTGAGTCATTTGCAGATGGGTCTGAACCTAAATTGTCAATGTCATAACCGTATGAGCGAGGAAAAGTGTCCAGCTCATGAGAAGACTGAGGTGGTAGCTGCTGCTGTTGCCATGTTGAGTCGCTGTATACCGAGCTGCCTCTGTACAACTCCCCTATAGAACCTTCAAAACCATTAAATGGGGACGCGGAAAGTCCAGAATTTGTCCCAAAGTTTCTTCCGTAACCATTGTTGTCATTAGCAACAGCAGAAGAAGGAAGTCCCCAGTTCCCTCTGTTGTTTTCAGTTGAGACATTCAAGTTCCAACCGGGACCTGCAGCATCGGTTCTGTTTCCCCACAAGTCTCTATTGTTTGAATTGTAAGGAGATTCGGTTCTGTTGTGCCCGATAGGAGAGGTGTAACGGTTTGGGGAAGCCCCGTTGAAGTAAGGGTTGCTTGGAATCCGGTTATACCCAAATGTAGAAGTTATTCCATCATAGCTTGGATTCAAATTCAAGCTCAATTCATGATTCAAACCGAGGCCGAAACCTGAAACCGGATTTCTACCGCTACCAATAATAGGACTAAAGCGGCCAGCAGCAGAGCCTAGATTGTTATAATAACCAGGACCAGGAGCAAAGTTATTGAAGTAGCTATTAGCAGACATCCTATTAGATCCACTTACATAGTTGCTACCAAAACCAGCACCAGGAAGCGGGGTTCGGGTATTAGAAACGGGAGAAATCTCCTTAGGAACGGCTCTTTTGACCTCGACTAGTTTCCCATTGAGCTCATGGAAAGTCTTATGGAGAACCCTATCAACAGCATCATCTGAATCAAACGTAATGAAGCCAAACCCTCTTGGCCTCTGGGTGTTATGATCATACATTACCACAACATCAGCAATTGTACCAAACTGATCAAAGTAGTTCTTGAATTCCGCCTCGGTAATGCTAGACGGTAAACCTCCTACAAAGATCTTCTTTGTCCTG